TCATTATGTATGTTATCCTTCTTGTTTAAGGAAGGATCATCAATATTCATGAGAGTTTTATAGATACAAGAGTAAACAAAGAAAAAAAATACAAAAAGTAATAACAATAGTCAAGAGACAACATGGTGGATGGTTTAAAAACAATAATAACAGAAGGAACATATATGTTGCTCCATTCATAAATAATTATTTTCTCTACTTAAGACTCAACACTTTTGTATTTGTTCCAGTCTCTTCCCTGCCAACTCTGATTCCTCAGCTCATAGACTAGATGGCTCACAAGTTTCCATATTCCCATGGCTCCCTTGACTCCAACAAGTACTAGGTACAGGACCTTTGAGTGAACGAGGTGGTCCCTTATTCCTAAGGCAACCAGCAGTATTGTTTCCACAAGACTGCCTTCCCCCTCTGGTTAAGCTGTCTGAAATCCCTTCCTTATGGAAGATCATTTCTCAGTATGTGTTCGATTTCCAAAGATACACAATGAATATAACACACTTAACCAGAGAAACACAAAAGCTGTAATACAAGAGTTTCGAAAATAACTTTTTAAGAACTTTGTAGTTTTTCCATTCTACAAATAGTTTAGCCCATGGCTACTAATTTAAACATAATTATTCCAACTGAAGTCTCATAGACCCGAGATTCAGTTCAGAGATAACGAGTGGAAAGAAGAGAAATAACACTTGTATTTAATTGAAAACAAATTGATTACAACAAAATGAAAAGTGGAGAAGATGGTTGATGCTAGTGAAGAGTCTCAAGTGGGTGATATAGAAAGAAGAAGAAGTGTTGTCACTTAACTAAGTTAAAACTATACAAATAAAAACTACAAAATAAATAAACTAAGTGATCTCTTCTTAAGGAATTCGATGGATGTCTTCGTGCTGGGACGTCCTTTTTATAGGTAGAAGATTGAAAGGCAAGCTTGTAAATCTTTTCGAGTCGGTTTCTTAACTGCATGAAAGGGGCGGTGTGAACAGTGCTTTGAGGGGTGTACGTGGCTGGATGGGACAATTTTCGTTGAGATTTTTCTTTCCTTCTGACCTCCCCATGCCTTGCTTTCCTTTTCGGCTAATAGGAACCGTTTATTCCCTGCTGCACATATTTCTCCCTGGTTGAATGCTGCCCACTTGTGTTAAGTTGGAAACTTCTTTTCACCGTTTCCTGAAAAGTGGTCAGAGAGGTTGAGTAAGTGAAGAAGGTGTATTTAATGTTCCAAATCTGTTCCTCTTTTTATATATTTTTCCAAAAGATTACGCCACCTTCTGTTCCCCACAGTGTTTTTGTAGTAAAGATATAAAATGTGTGTTTTTAGTGCTAAAGTTGCTCATCGGGTGAGGGAACGGATGGTATTTTGCCATCAAAATAGGCTTAGATGGGAACAAATTTCCATCCCATCAATCAGCTCGGAGCTTATCAAGCTCGAAAACAAGCTATGTATGGTTCTCTAACAATAGAGAATATGACTTCAATAAAGAGGCCGCCTTAAAGGTATACAACTCGGCTTTTTGCAATTCTTCCATCTCAGACCTTGATATCATCCCAGATCCAAAAAATACGGGCGGAGGGTGAGTTACACCTCGAAGCTCGGTGGCAACCCCAGTTTCCCACAAAGCACCTTTCCTCAAACTGGCTGGAAGAGCAAGGGGATCGAGGTACCACGATCTACGGACACCACGACACGTGTAGTGCCTCCTGTACCTTTAGTTTGGAGAGCAGGGTTGAGACCTGACTCCAACCATCTATCAGTATCATCAGTAAGGTCCATCACTGACACGGTTGGACTTGTAGCCGAGATGGAAGAGGTAGTGGCAGCAGAAGGACCGACAGTCTTTTGTCTCTTGGTAGCCTGGGTTTGCCGGGCTGAAGATTTGCTTCGTAAAGCCAATATATAGTCTGGCTCGTCCTCCATACTGGGATCTGCAAACAAAATAAGGATAATTAGAACAAAGAGTGAGATAAAATAATACAGAAGTGGAGCAAAAAGACATACTAGTTCGATTTGCGTCGGCCTGCGATCTGGCTATAAGGGAAGCCGCGCACAGGTAGCCTTGGGAATTTACATGGTCCAATAAAGCCTTGGTGTTGACCTTATCTTCCCTTGACAACCTCAATTTAAAGTCAGACGAATTACGTAGGTGGTGTTCCGGGACCAATAAAGGGAAAATTTTCCTTCTCCATCCTCTCCAATAAACCACGACCTTTCTCCGACTTTAGCGATTACTTTAAAGTATGAACCCTTAAAATCCTTGAAGGAGTCATGATGGGACGTAAATTCTTTCCCATCTACGCCCATTTTGATGGCAAAATACCATACGTTTCCTCATCTGATGAGCAACTTCAGCATGAAAATAACTTGTTTTACACATTTGTGACAAAAACACAGTGGGGGAACGGATGGTAACGTATTCCTTTAAAATATATTAAAAGGGGAACGGACTGAGACACATTTAATGCACCTGCTTCATTCATTTAATGCTTCTGTACACTTTGCAGATAACGTAGAGTTAAAGACTTCTAAAAAGCAAGGCGGTGCACAAACTGAGCAACTGGAAACGTGAAGAGCAGGGAATCAAGAGTTCTCATTGGCTGAAAACAGAAGCAAAACATGGGAAGACCTGCAAACAACGGCTAATCATCACCAAACCCTGTTCCATTCAGCAATTCACACAAGCTTCACACTCTGCCGCCACCGTCCCATCCCCTCATTCAAGGAACTAGCTCCAAGGAAATTACAGTCTTGCCATTCCTCTTCTAGCTATAAATAGGACCTCCCTCACACAAAAATATCATCGAATCCTGGAGGGTTTGCAGTCCAAAAGGAAGAGATCACTTAGTGGTAGTTAGTAACTTAGTTTAATTTTCAGTTGTAATTATAGTTAAGCGACAACCCCTCTTCCCTTCTCTGTAAACAACCATCAAGACTCCTCACGAGCAAATACCCATGTTTCTCCATTTTCTGTTTCTTTTTGTAAACTGTCTTTTAAATTAATATAAGTGTTTTTCTCTTCGTTCCAATCGTTATCTCTTGACTGAATCTCAAGTCTATGTGATCTCAGTTGAGAATAATTATATTCATTGTGCGCCAATGGAAATTGGGTACATACTGAAAAGGAACTTCCATAAGGAAGGAATTTCAGACAGCTTAGCCATTGGGGGAAGGTAGATATGTCATGGAAAAAACGCTACTGGTCACCTTAGGAATAAGGGGCCAACTCGTCCATTTTAAGGTTCTGAACTAAGTACCTGTTGGAGTCAAGGGAGCCATAGGAATATGGAAACTTGTGAGCCATCTAGACCATGAGCTGAGGAATCAGAGTTGGCAGGCAAAGAAACTGGGACAAAGCCAAAAGGTGCTAAGTCTTGAGCAGAGAAAACAGCCCCTTAAAGAGTGAAGCAGTGAATCTGTTCCTTCTGTTAAACTGTTTTAACCACCACCCTGTTGTCTCTTGATTATAGTTATTTCTGTTTTAGTAATTTTATTTTATTTTATTTAGTACTTATAAAATCTCCAATGATTATTACCTCACCTTCTTCTAAATAGGAAGGATCACATACATAACGCAGCGAGCAACTGTTTGCCATCAGGTTGAACCTACTGTTCCTGTGGAACGTTGTCAAGACAGTAGGGAACGTTTGACCAGACAGTTCATTTACTAACTTTTCTTCTCATTTTCACTCTTTATAAACAGTGATAAAACAATAATTAGCACTCTATCCTCGTGGGAACGATAATTTGGGCATTAATACTCCCTTTATTACTTGATGCGTGCACTTGCGCACTTGGGTTGGAACTGAGGGACGAATCTGTGTTTTGCAAGAACAGAAGAACGTACCCTATCAGAACTTATATTTTTCCACCATCAGCAAACCACCCAACAAGTTTTTGGCGCCGTTGCCGGGGATAGAAACACTAACTGTTGTTCTTATCATTGTTTTCTAACACATATACTGTATATATGACTTTACTTTTATATTTTTTTTCTTTATCACTGAATCTGCTGTGCATATATATGCCCTGTGCTATTGGTTTATGAGTGAAGAGTTTGAAACAGACTCTAACCACTCCATTGAAGTACCTGAGTTTCTCTTTGATCCTGAGCCAGAACGCACACTCCATAGGAGGAGAAGGAACCTCAGGAAAAGATTTCCTAAAAACATGGCTGATCATAATAATAACAATGAAGAGGTTCCCCGTGAACAGAACTTCAAAACTTTGGTTGCTCCTTTCAGGAACAGACCAGATAGGGGAGTAATCCTTCCCCGTGTAGCACCAAATTTTGAACTAAAACCTATCATGTTCCATATGATTAGGGAAGCAGGGGTCTTCAATAGACTCCCTGCAGAAGAACAGTTATTCACATCCTTTGTATCTTGAAATACCCTTTGTTTTATAGCAATCGTAATTAATCGTTGTTGTTTTAAGTTCAATCTATTCACACGTCTAGATAATATTTTTCCTTGTTCACTAATAAATCGATTAATTAAACTCATGTTTTTATAATCAATTCGATCCCCCGATTGGATCGGGGGCAAACGCCTACGAAAAGATCGCTTGGATTTAAGAAAGAGTCGCTTAGATTTATCCATGATTTTTAATTCCTATCCTAAAAATACACTTTTTTTTTCAAAAAAGGAATTTTTTAGGTCTATTTAAATTATTACTAGATTTACCATATGAATAAAATATAGGTTGTTATCCAATGAAATCTATTTTCTAGAAGATTTTTTTCTATAATAGAAATAGAATCTGACATATACATATATAGAAGATATATATTAAAAATAGATCATTTTTCACGTTCCTGGGAAGGGTGACAAACAAGTAATCCATTTTCTCTATTTCTTTATCTCAGCGTGAATCATATGTTTGCAACAGCAGGGGCAGAATTTTTTCAATTCCAATCGACTGGGCGTATTGTGTCGATTCTTTTGAGTAATGTATCTTGAAATACCCTTTGATTCCTTATTCACATCCTTATTCATATCCTATACCTATGAATTCCATTGGACCCGGAAATGATAATGATACATTGGAAGAATCTTTTGAGTCTTCCAATATCAATAGGTTTATTGTTCCGCTCCTGTATCTTCCAAAAGGAAAAAAGATCTCCGAGAGCTCTTTCCTGGACCCAAAAGAGAGTACTCGGGTTCTCCCAATAACTAAAAAGTGTATCATGCCTGAATCTAACTGGGGTTCGCGGTGGTGGAGGAACTGGATCAGAAAAAATAGAGTTTCTAGTTCTAAGATATCTAATGAAACCGTCGCTGAAATTGAGATATCATTCAAAGAGAAAGAGATCCAATATCTGGAGTTTCTGTTTGTATATTATATGGATGATCCGATCCGCAGGGACCGTGATTGGGAATTGTTTGATCGTCTTTCTCCGAGGAAGAGGCGAAACATAATCAACTTGAATTCGGGACAGCTATTCGAAATCTTAGCGAAAGACTGGATTTATTATCTCATGTTTGCTTTTCGTGAAAAAATACCAATTGAAGTGGAGGGTTTCGTCAAACAACAAGAGGCTGGGTCAACTATTCAATCAAATGATATTGAGCATATTTCCCATCTCTTCTTGAGAAACAAGCGGGCTATTTCTTTGCAAAATTGTGCTCCTTACACACACCTCACAACATTCCAAGATATTTGTGATAATTTTAAAGCCGAGGGTGTAACAGAGGAGAGCATGAGAATGAGGTTGTTACCTCACTCCTTGGGT